TCTCCAATCTTAACAGAACCTTTCAGTTAACTCAGTTTAACTTAAACGTTCAGATATCTCATCTGCCATATGTTACATATATTTAAAAAGCAGTTTTCCTAAGTGTGACAACCTGTAATCTCATCAAACATTTCCTGAGGGAAAACAAGTGTGAGAATGCAGGATGATTGCTGACTTGCAGGTGCTTCCAAGTCTGGCAATTACAGCTCTCCTTAACAGCCTCCTTCATGCCTGCTCCTTCTGTCCTGTTTTTTTAATTCTGTATTTTAGCTTCCCCTGTGCTCCTTTATCTGAACCTGGGTTTATCATTTAACTCTCTTGGTCTGATGCAGTTTCTTTGTGCTATGCATCTTTGAAAAAAAAAAATTACATACCTTTCAGCCAACTTTAGTGCATCGATTTGTTATGCAGATAGGCCTATTTCTAGGTTTATGATCTTTGGCAGGTGTGTTAGGGAGAGTGGACTCTGTACTATAACCTTGGTTATCTCTTGCTAGCAAGTCTCTTCAGGAAAAAAAATAACCCAGTGAAGTCAGACAATATGCAGCAAAGCAAAAAATGGAGTCATGCTTCATGGAAAGTCTTTCCCAGTAAAAATTCCCAGCCTGTACTCTGTCTTCCATGCTAGTACTCTGCCTTGACTTTGCAGAACAGTTTTTATTGTAGTAACAGCGTTTAGATCTTGTGGCCTTTCCTATGTTCTTCCCCATAAGCATTCTGCACCCATGGCTCTTCAGGGCTAGAAGGCATACCACGGTTAACCTGGAACTGTGTGCAGCTTGGTTGGACACCTGTCAAAAAAAAATGCCCAGGGGCTGGGTGTGGACCACAGTTCCCTTGATGTCAGCACTGGCTATGTATCAGCTTTTACAGAAGCTGTAACTTTATGTCTTACCCTGCTATCATGTTTGATTTATGTTGGCCAACAAGTTATTGAGCAGTGAGGCTGATGGCCAACATGGTTGTTTAAGACTTGCTTCATTAGGAAAACAGGCTAACAAACATACTGGTAATATGTACTGTCAATGACATGGAAATTGGGGTTTTTTGCAGCCTCTACACCACTATAAAAGGCTTAATAAGCTAATGAGCCACAGCATGTAAGATCAACATCATTCTCTGCTGACAGCCTTACGTTCACTTACCAATTTCTTGCCACAATATTGTTGTTTGATGCAATTTATATATTGATATTAATTGGTAGTAATCCAAGCATTTATCATTTTTCAATTCTAGACACCTACCAATTTTCCAGTAGAGGGGCAGACTACTGCACAGCAAGTTTAAGCCTTATGTTGGGCCTCCCTCTCTACTTTGTTTTCTGGCAGACTTTGGTATTCCATAGATCTTCCTCCACTCCCAGTGCAGGTTGCAAAAACAGTGATCAAAAAATGAGAGCAGCCGATGTCCCACCTCTGTTAACCTCAACTCCTCTGCAGATGACTCATTCAAACGCTTGACCAGAGCTGTGCCTCACATCCTTTTTCAAGCTAACTTCTGCTTTTGACAATACATGGCAAGAATAAAGATAGCTAGACATGCTGCAGGGAAAAGCAAACAAACTAAAACATTTGTCTCTAAAAATATACAGATAAAAATGCATCATTAAGAAAGAAATGTCTGTTTATAGCAATAGCATTGAAAAAGAAAGGCAGCTCCCCAAGCCACCCTGAAGAGCAAATAAACTTCTTTAGGATGTTTTGGGGAAATAGGAAGTGTAAGTGAACTGAGACAAACATCAGGGAAAGGTCATCAAGTTTAGAGTAGCTGGACTTGACTTTAGCAGCTGGCAGCAGCTAAATTGCTTTTCAAATTGATTCTAAGTAAAAATGTATGAAGGCAGCTTGGGAGCATAAATGATTCCATCTCAGAGCTGACTAATCTGGAGTACACTGTGATGAGGAGAAGGATGATGTGGCAGTCATTTAGACAAAGCAGAAGCACCTCACTATTGGCACACTTTACAGTACTATAAATAGGATTTCAGTAGCAAAATAAGTATTTCTGAGGTTTCAAATGAAGAAAGTATATCCTTAACAGCTTAGGTAAGAGCACTGAATTACAAAGTGATCACATGGCCTGGGCTCTATATCTCTGTTACTATGCTGACATCAGAGAATGTCAACAGATGAACTTCACCTCTTTTTTTTTTGAGAAAACTAGAAAAAAAGCAATTTCTTAAAACTTTTGTTTATAAGAACATTAGAAACTATGTGAAAGTGC